TTAGTACTAAATAATTTTTGATCGATTGCATTAATTATTAGAGGGTAAGTAGATTACATAATTTTGTTTAGAATTTAAATATCCATTAGCACTAAATAATATTTTTATCGATTATATTATCCATTAGAGGGTATGCTTGACTACATAATTTTGTTAAGTTAGCAGTTAGTATTTAAATATCAATTAGTACTAAATAATATTTTGATTATATTAACTACTAGATCGTAAGTTCGGTTATATATGTCATTTATCAAATTAGAATTTAAAGATTATTAATGATATTTTGATCAATTATATTAATTACTAGAACGTAAGTTTTTGATTACGTATATTCATTTTATTAAATTATGATTTAAATTTCAATTAGTGAATTAGTGCTAAATAATATTTAATTACTAGGCCGTAAGTTTGATTACTTATATCATCACGGTTTGCAAAATTCTATAACTTGGTGATTAACTCTTTCACAATCGCGATTTCGGTAGAGATGCATTCTATTGAGTATAGGAATGTCAAATGATCTTTTTGAATTGAATTCTGATCGATTATCATAGAGATGATCACAATTTAATCCTAAATATGATTTGGCATTCTTACATTTATAGAAGCCACTTACCTGTAAACCGATTGTGTTAGTAATGATCACCCCTGGTTACTATACAGAATTTTGCGGACTGACAAATTAGAGTTAAATATTAAATATATAATGTTAAATAATATTTTTGATCAATAAAATCTACTAGGAGGTAGGTTCATTATGCATATTCATTTGTTAATTAGAATTTAAATACTATTGCTAAATAGTATTTACGCATTAGGGAGTAAGTTCGATTATGTATTTTTTTATTTGTTCAATTGGAATTTAAATTATAATTAATAACAATCTAATTGATTGTGTTAATTATTAGCATGTAAGTTCGATTATGTTTTTTGATTTGCTCAATTTTGAATTTCTCCATGCAAATGTTAAATAAACATTAATGTGAATATTTGATAGTAAGAAAATTCAGAGTGATTTTACTTATGCAATCAAAACATACAAAGCTAAGGTTAATGATACCGATGAAAATGGTAAAACAACACTACATTGGGCTGCAAAAAATAAATACGCATTTATTGTTAAGAGCTTGATAGAACATGGAGCTAAAGTTGAAGCTGCTGATAATAATGATAGAACAGCTCTGCACTTAGCTGCAGAACAAGATAGTGAAACGGTTGTTGAAATTTTGGCAAAAAATCATGTTAATGCTCCTGATCGCAATAATTGTACGCCATTATTTTATGCAGCGGAAGCAGGTCATAAAAATATTATTGACATTTTGATATTGAATAATGCTAGTGTTAGACATAAAAATAATGATGATGAAACGGCTTTACATAAGGCGGCAGCAGCAGGACATTTAGAAGTATCCAAAACTTTATTAAAACGAATGAAATATGCTGATGATATTGTTGATAAAGAAAAAATATTAAACTTGGCCGCAAAAAATAAGCAAACAGATGTAGTCAAACACTTATTAGAAGTGGAAGCTCAAGTTGATTATTTTCACTATCAGCCTTTCAATCATATTTATTTTGCTGCAAAAAAAAATTATAAAAATGTTATCAAGTTATTATTAGAAGAATCAACTATCGATAATTTAACATTACATTATACTGCTAAAAAGGAGGATATTGAAGCGGTTAAAATTTTATTTGAAAATGGAGCAAAATTTAATAGCATCACTGATGAAAAGAATAGAACTCCACTACATTGGGCAGCATTTGAAGGTTGTGAAAGCGATATATTATATTTAATCAGAAAAGACAAAAATTTAGTTAAAGCTAGCGACAATAATAATGAGCCTGCAATATATGAATCAGTGTGGAATGGTCATATAGGAGTCACTAAGATTCTACTAGAACAGGATTTAGATCTTATTAATTATAAAAATAAATATGGTTATACATTATTACATATAGCTGCAATTTCTTGTCAAGTTGGAATTTTTAATTTTTTAAAAAAAAAAATGGGCCTTCAACCAGAATTTATAAATAATTTTTTTGATGAGTTGAATAATTTTCAATTGGACAATTATTCTAAGTTTAAAGAAAGTTACAGCACTACTCGAGGGCTAGTTAACAAGTTAAAAAATTTAGAAAAGCAATCCGATAAATTGTATAATTTTGATTTTATTCCTTTTTATCAGTTTTTTCTAAACCAACTTGAAAAACACGCAGAAAATCCAGAAAATCCTCATTCAAAAGAAGATAAAGAAGTAATTAGCTATTTATATACATATACTCTTAGCAAAATTAGTAATTTAAAATTTGAATTAAAATCCAATTTAATAATTGATATAAATGAATATTTCAAAATGATCCAAAGTGGTATTAAATTATTAAAAAAAGCAGATAAACAAGTAAAAGTAGATAAATATAACAAACAATATGAAAAGTCAATTGAGAAGAAAATCGACGAGGCTTATAATATTGCTAAAAATCAGGTTAAATCTGAAATAAATAAAACTGTTGGTGAGATAGATGAACAAATAATTTCCTTAATTGATGAAACAAGAGACTTGATAAGTAACGTTGAAGAAAATAAACTAACCTTAGAAGAAAAGCAAAGTGAATTAAGGAAAAAATTAGCATTGAAAAAAGCATTAAGAATTTTAAAATGTATAGGCATTACAATAAGTGTTGTTGGTGGTCCAGTTGGAATAGCTGGTAGTGTAATAAAAAAAGGTGTCAACATGGCCGGAGCATATATTTCAAAAGAAGATAATAGTATATTAAAGTTTGAAATTCCTTCAGAAGTAAGAGATTCTTTAAATCAAATGAATATAATAAGTAAATCTAAAGAAATTATGTTTAAAGATGAAGAAATTGGAATTGAAGGTGATAAAATTAAAGAAATTAAAATTAAAGATGAAGAAAAAATTAAGATGAGAGGTGAAGATATTGAAAAAAACGAAATAAAAAATGCAGAACAACAAATAAAAATACTATCTCTAAAATATGATAAATATCCGAATCTATTTAATATAAAAGAACATTTAGATAAAATTCTAGAAGCATTAGGTAATATTAATTCTACAAAATTAACAAAAATAGCGAATGAGGTAAAAGAAGAAATAGAAAAAGCTCAAGAAAAATTAAAATTGACAGGAATTGAATCAGATGTAATACAGGACTTTAATATTGCGATTCAAGATACTGTAGTGGCAATTGACCTGTATGACAGATATCAGAATGATAAAAAAGAACTTGATGCAATTGGTAACTCAATTAAACAAGCAGAAAATGATATTAACCTATTAAACCTGTATGAAAAAAATATTTATCAAACTATCATTCCTATGATTAAAGGAATGCAAGAAGATATTAATAATATAGAAAAGAAAATAGATAAAAAATCACATGTTCACCTTGACCTAACTAAGTGGCAAGTGCAAACTTCATTAAAAGAAATAAAATATACAATTCAGCAAATTTCTAAAGGCTTTTCAGCACAAGAAATAGGTCGTTATATTGAAAAGCTAGATGAAGGGATGACCACACTTATTAATATATATGATCGTATACAGGAATATTATGATCAAATAAACCTTGCTAACTATATTGCACATATTAATTCACCAATGGCTATTGAAATAGATGATAAAGATTTAAAAAATGATATTGATGAATTAGAAAAAAAAATTAAATTCAGCATTGTAAAAGGTTATCTTAAAAGAGCTAGAAGTGCATTCAAGCAATGGGCATTTCCATTTGCAAATGAATATTCAAATGTATTAAATTCACAGTTAGATGAAGAAGATACTAAAAGCATTATAAAACAAATAGATGATCTACATTTAAAAGTTCAAGAACGTAATGTATATGTAATCAAAGAGATAGATAATTTGAAATATAGTGATTTTAATAGTGAAAATATATCTACGCAGCCATTTTTTGTGTGGGAAAACAACAATTATAGCCAAGAAATATCAGAATTTCTAGTCGGAAAAGAGATAAAAGTCAAGGCAGATATAACGAAAACCGATTCTCATAAATGTGCTGTCAAGTTCAATGAGATAGGTATTAGACTTAAATCGAAAGATAATAAAATCCAGGATGAAATTAATAATGAACTTAAAAATTTTGATGTTTATATGACTCATTTAGGCGATTCATATTATAGATATAGCGATAAGTTTTATGTGATAAGAAGTAATGAACAATATATTGAATATAGTTTTGAAAAAAATAAAGAAGGAAAGCCAGTGAGAAATAATCGCGCATATGAAAGGATTAGGAATGATGAATTAATGCTTAGCCCTTATACTACGTGGAAAATAAAGCTTAAACGTGAAACTAAATATGTTGATTCTAAAAATGCTGGCTTTGATAAACTAAAGACTTATGAAAAGAAGGTAGATTTAGAGTTAGTAGGACGTGGTTTATATGTAGATGAAGAAGGTAGTAATGATTTGATGGTAGGAACTTATTATAAAGAATATGAATATGAACATAAACCCGTAACTCATGATAATACGTTACTATAGTTATTTGGTAATTTTTCTTTTCACTTATTAAAATTCACTCATCTGTTTATTTTATTTAGTATTTTATTATATTTCGAAAAATTCTTTTTATATTATTATTGTATATTTTAAAGATTTTTTCCCTTATAATTATTTATTTAAATTTAGGGGTTTTTTTTACCTTTATTGTATGCAATAATATATATTTTAATAAATTTTCAGTTAACGTTTCAATTAATGGGTTTGCAAAGTTGTATATAAAACAATATCACTAACACTCTATCGTACATACACTGATATTCCTCAATATAACAAAAATTTTTTATCATTCGTACTCTATTAGAATTTTGGAACTATCTATCGCTGAAATTTCATTTATAATTTGCTTAAATTATCAAGAATATTTTATCTAATTCTGATTTAAATCGGTCCTGAAGGCTTCGAACGAATTTTTTATTATAAATAAAGGTCATTCTGACCCTTTGGGAATAAAAAGTCCCATTTTGCTTGACATAATAATTTGTCATTCAATAAACCTCTTTAATAAAAATTAATATCTCATACATCACACACTAATCCTGTTAAAGTTACATTCGATAAAGGTATCGAACTATTCGTATCCTTTTTTGACCCACCTAAACACTAACCTCAGCTACCCTTTGACCTACAAATTTTTGGTCACATCAAATATCTCCTAAATTACTTCATTAACGATAAATGTGGTTTTAGATTTATTGCACCGTATACGTACGTGCCTATTAAAGTGTTGGAGTTGGATATTCTATCATTATTTATAAAAAATATACCACCGATAGTGATACAAAACATCAATGTTGACCATTTTAGGTCATAATAGATATGCAAACACTGCAAATTATTTTTAAATTATTCAAACATTGAGTTCGGATTTTTTGTTTCCCATATTTAAAAAACAAAATGAATCTGTTGACAAATCAACTGAT